GAGGTCTTCCACAGTCCGTTTCACAAGGCATTTTCTTTTGCGAACTAGCGAACTGTGGAATCGACTCCCGGTGGGGGTCTTCAGAGATACGACCTCCAAATGTTTAAAAAGCGAGTGTACTCCTACCTCAAAGACCGGCAACTCACCCACTAAAAATGGGTGAGAAATGCGAAGACTGCCCTTTTTGGTCGTCCCACAAGCTCGTTTGCCCCCTATTATTTAAAAAAAAAATACGACAAAACCTAAGAAACAAAGAGTGATAAATACTCCTATTGAGAAGGAGGTTAATTTATCATAAATATAAGTGTCCAATATTCGTATTTATGACCTTCGAATGCCAACACACTTCTGAAAGTATACATTTTATGACCACCATTACGTTTTACCAATATGTTTATTTGGGAATGCATTACGTTAAGAAGGTTTTTATGTGTTTTTTACGTTACAATATCAAAATATGGTGCCGATTGCACTATAAAGAAGTTTATTAACCCTTTATCGAATATAAAATTATAACGTATAAAGAAGATTAATTCTCATTACAAAATTATATTATTTTTACGAAATCATAGCCACGAGACAGCCGTCCTCATGTATATCTTTAATGCACATACAATTCCTTTTAAATTGATTGAAGCGGTCAAATTTTAGACGGTAATTTATTAAATATATAACGCTGATTATTTTTACCAAGCCTTTATTACTGACATCCAGTATAATATATAAACAGTTATTTAAGTTACATAACCTAACTTAATTTAACACAGATGAGCCGGTTTTGGTAATCTGCGTGTCCCGGGACACATAGGCCTCTTCTAGCTGCTTCCATTCTGTCTGTGTGTTTTCTAATATTAGCTCTTCTTGTTGTACCTCCTATTCTCTTTATATCGCATGCCCTTCTCTTGCTCTGTTTTCCTCTTTTCCTTTTTCAATCTCGTGGTTGCCATTTTATAATAATTTTGGCCATTTCAACCTGCTATCTCTCGTCATGTTCCCCGTCCGGCGCCATTTTGATTGCCTTATTTTCTTTATAATGTCCCCTTTGGTTGTTGATCTTATCTCTTTTGCTCTTTTTCGATGTCTCAGTGTCACACTCATTGCTTCTTTCCATTCCTCTTTGGCATGTTCTCAACTTTAAGCGTTTCTGAGATAATGCCCAAGTCTGGCATATGTACAACACTTATAAGCGACCAATTACAAACTGCTTGCAAATTAATCTCACTTTAATTTTTGAAATTTTATATATTATGAACAATGATTTTATTTGAAAAAATAAAGAGCATAGATCTAACTGCGTACTTTTAAAAAATCTTGCAAAAATTAAGGGTGTATTTGTTTGAAAATGAACTTAACTGTTAACATTAATATTATAGTGAATATATCTGGAAAATGTAGGTTTTTTAAGCTAAAATATTCGTATATCCATTTATTAACCCTTCTCTTGGCGGGTTGAGCTCAATATGCCGCGATGACGCGTCGACGTTGCCTGCATTATGGATGTCTGCGAACTTTTCGTCTGACGCGAGAAAAATGAAGCAAGCCACTTGATTCATTTGAATTGATGGTGGAAAGATCTAGTCGGATTCCTTTTTTGAAATGTCTGTTGTCATGACGTTGTCTTTGTCTACAGTCTATGCCCATTGTTTCATTTATAGTCTATGTATTATGGCCGAAACGAATTAAGTGCTATGCTTCAATCATAGATAGTCTTTTGTTTATCGTATAATTTGGTTTATGTTTAAATCTGTGTCTTGGAAAATTTAATTAGCCTTATGGAGAATGCATATTTTTGTCTAGCGAGATTGTAAAATTTTCTAGATATAAAAGTAAATACGATAAGTCGGTATAGTCTAAAGAATAGCCAAAATAATAAGCTTTTCAAACTAGGCAAAATAATCGCGGGAAAGCGAATTATAAAATAATTGCCCAATGTACACTTATAAATAAACAAAAATATTTAAAACTGATCCAATTCTTAAAAGGCCGGTAACGCACTCGCGAGCCCTCTGGCATTTAGAGTGTCCATGGGCGGCGTTATCACTTATCAGATGAGCCTCCTACCCGTTTGTTTCTATAAAACAAAATAACAATTGGCATACTTTTGGGGCACAATTTTAGGCTGTTACTTATAAGGGATAACATTCAGGAAATTAATAACAAATACAGGACATAAAACCACATTTAAAAACGTAAGCATTTAGCGTAAAATGAAACGTTTGGATTCGCGACCTATATGAATATTATCAATTCGTTAAAATGTTTGGAATTTCATTCGATTGGAACTTCATACTAAATAGCTTATTTTCAAAGAAAAACGCTTTTTACCGGATTAAAGTTATGTTTATTATTATAAATTTACAACTATGTGGTCACGGTGACCACGCACGCTGTAAAGCACGCGAAACGTCGGATAAATTTAAAATTATGTCAAATAGTTGTAAATTTATAATAATAAAAATAACTTTAATCCGGTAAAAAGCGTTTTTCTTTAAATGTGTAAAGGTTATGTTAATCAAAGACAATAGCTTATTTTCAATTTATGTTGTAATTAGGTTTGTGAGATGCTTGAGTCACGGATCATATCACCTGGGGATTAATTGCTCCCTGACGATCAATTAGTGGAACGTGCTCCCCTGTAACGTAGGGAATACATGAAACGCGAAAGTAACACTGTTATATAAACTGACAGAATAATATTTTTTTTTAATGCGACAGAACATATAATACCGTGTACTTATCATAACTGTATCTGGGTAAATAAAGATTATTTGTGCACTAAAAACGAGCGATGAACGGCGCTCTATGGGAATGGTGGTTGCCTATGTGACTTTGTTCGCGTGGTGACAGAAAATTTGAACCATGTTCAAAAGCTCCTTTGAGATTTTTTCAAAATCACAAAATTTACTTTAACGAAATTCATGTAGATAATCTAATGAAAAAAATTTATTCGCCCGAAACCCAATTCAGGAACTCTAGGTTAAAGGACTAAAGGACCTTTAAGCCAGCGATTGATGAGACACAGCCAATATTCCTATCGGACTTTTGAAATACTTTAACTATCAGTTACATTTACAAAACCATAAAGATAATAGAAGCAATAACAATGAGCGCCCTTTTGACCCTGCAAACTCAAATTAAAGATCATAAGAACAGGCGAAGATCCTCTTCATTAGGTTCTACAAATTGCGAGCGTGCAGAGGGACCCCCCACCCCCACCCCCTCTATTAATAATGCAAATGAGACCGCAGCTCGGCCAAGAACCGAGTCTCGATTAATTCCGGTTCATTTGGGGTAATTGTCACTGCGCGGGTGCGGTCTGTGGTCTCCCATAGACCTAATGTAGGCCCATAATAGCTTCATGAAATTTGAAATTATTCAGCAACTCACCGCGGTATGTTTAAGGATTTATTCGTAAAAACTTAACTAGGAAACTTTTTAATTAATATAATCTCTTTCTGTTAAATTATGTTTTCGCTGTATGCGACATCGCTATTAAGAAGTTCGAAGAAAAATATACAAGGCATCCCAAGACTATGGGACATCAAGGGAAAGTACCTTAAATATCGTAGATAGGATATTTTACTGAAATACTTTTTTTATTTTGAAAAGTAATAATACTGCATTCAATGATTTTCTTAAAAATTACTTGTCTCTTCTGGGAATCGAACCGACTCAAATGTGAAAAAAAACTTATTTTTTTGATGTCAATGAAGAGAATGGACAAAAAATAATAATTCTTCTTAAGTAACATAGTATTTTTAAAGAAAGAAACAACGTGAAATTAATTATTTTAATCAAATTAAAAACATACATGAAACTGCCGAAGTCGATTAAGTATTTGTACCAATAAAACAATATTTCTATACATATTTCTGTTACTAACTAAAATAAAGGAGTTTTACAAAATACAAAATAAAGATTTCGTAGCTAAATAAGAAGTGCAGTATTCTTCAAGCGTAGCACCGCTACGAGGCGTAAGCTACGATCGATAATGCTACGCGACATTCTATGTTTCAAGAGCCAGTTTTTCTACTGAACGCTACAAAGATATTGTTCAAGATTAAGACATGAAGGTTTTATTTAATTAATAAATTATATGATTTTTATAGAAGCTTTATAAACACACGACCGTAGAGAACTTGTCGTCATTGGAAAAATATTCCATATTAATAATTATTTATAAATCAAGATATTTATAAACTAAAGATTTGTATTAAATTGCATTAAATATCACACATATAGGCAATTTCAAAAAAGTCATTGTTCAACCTTATATAAAAGATTATTAAATTAAGTTTTAAAACAATCGAAAATAGATTTATGTTAAAAAAAAATCGGACGGAAATTCAACTTTAGCACACTTAATACTTTAATTAAACTAATGTAAGTTGTGATTCTTAGGTATAAATGTACATTGAATTTGTACCTACAGTGGGTGAGGGCGAACTCGGAGGGGAGACAAAATGGCCGCTTTATACAACCTGCAGCTTTTCTTTCACTTAACATTACGGCTTTATTTATATGTACTTCGTTTTGTTTTTCTAGTTTTGTGGTTTTAGTACAGGCCAAACACGTTCTCTTATAATAAACGTTCCTATGACGTAAGAATAGCATAGACTATATCTAGAACTAGCTAAGTATAGATTAACATAAAATAGATCTTAACTTGAATAGAGCTTTATTGTATCCGTGAAATATATTACTTCTTAAATTCTTGAATGACGAATTAGTTCTACCGTAATGACGACACCCTAATTACAAAATTCAAAACTTATAGCATATTTACATAGTAATAAACACACCTAATATGTGTAACTATACCTTAGGTATAGGTATAAATATATACCTGACATATACCTAAGGTATATATTTATATAGCTATACCTAAGCGGTGTTTGTTACCATAGTAATGTTAGGTAACATTTCATAAGATCATATATGTTATCTAAATTAGATAAGTTTAATGGATTTTATATATAATAAAACAATTTTTTTTTCAGCTGGACTGCCTTACAAGGTATACGGAGGTCACGAGGGTTCATTAACGGAGAAAAGGAAACAGCGGCGTATTAGAACAACGTTTACGTCGGCACAACTGAAGGAATTAGAAAGAGCTTTTCAAGAGACGCACTATCCAGACATCTACACTAGAGAAGAAATCGCTATGAAAATTGATTTGACTGAAGCTAGAGTGCAGGTAGGTAATTTAGCTAATTAAGATTCTCCAGGTCACGACAGCCTATTTCTACTCATTGGGAAGCATTACCAGCATCAGAAGATCAGTCTTGGGTCCGATAGCTTAAGGTCATCCAAGAGCTCGATGCCGTATCGTTTTTTAAAGTAATTTCAAAGGTAGCTAAGGGTAGCTGTATGTTGGCTGAGTTTGTATTTGAATTACGAACCTGTCAGTCTTTGATTTAGGCTTTGGTTTGGTTCTTTACCGTTAAATATAGTCATTGTAATTTACGAGTTTAAATTTTATAAAACTAATCTATTGTGTCTAGTAATTGTTTGGTGACTTGATTATATAGTCATCAAACTTCATGGAACAGGCGAGATGAAATTCCATTAAATATGTATCTGCTGAACAAATTGTGTGGAAAAGTATATAAAATCTTGACACTTAGCTGTCTATGATGTAGCTATTAGGGCAGACACTGGGTCTTTTACTTTACTTTTATGTATATTATGTATATATACAAAATTAAACATTACTAACGTACGAAAACAAAATTCACTTCCTAAAATTTAATATAAAATTGGATGTAATAAGGTATTATGACCAACGTAATTGATAGAAAGTCGTAATATAAAAGTAAGGTTTTTATTAAAAGCAATAAAAATATTACTTTTCCGCCCATCACTGCATTTCCACAGTCCAATTAGCGTCCGTTAATTCGGCCGCGCCTGACGGAAAATGGCTAAAAAACATGTTCCGCGTCTTTCGCTAATTTCATAACGCTCATTTTTATTTAAGGCGGGTTCGCGGTACGTGTATGTGAATATTTTATGGGGTGACTTGCTTCTGCCCAATCATGTGGACTCTGTGACAGTTACGCTTTTGTTTAGAATGTTGCTTTTAAATTTATTCTTCAGTATGTGAGCAAAAGGTTTTATAATTTTTAAAAAGTTCTTATATTCTCTATAAGACAATAATTGTCAAATGGTGTTTTATTGTTTATATTTTACTTAGAAATAAATTAGGCAATTTATTAAATAATACCCGAAATACCGTTTTAGCAGGTCGATTAATACTCAGTTTATATAATTGTTTTAGTTAAGAAACGTGTTCAATTCTCGAATAACGATTTAAAACAATGTCTTTTTCTCGACTGTTATGAGGAATCTGTACATTATGTAAAGCAGACATTATCTCTTTTGTTACCTTTTTTAAATGAAAAATACAACGAATCGAAATGCATAGTCTACAGAACTCTGAACTTAATAATGAATATTATAGAACTTGGAAACACGAACTTTTAATCATCAAAAACCGTAGGAGCGAAGCAGCGTAAAGAACAAGAGACAAATTTAAAAACAAAACACGTAAACACATAAACAAAAGCACCACAAACGCATAATATATAATGGAAAAACAATCGTAAAGCAATATACACGCGCCACCCCAGTGTTGCCAGCAACAAGCGCTCATTACGCTAAAAAGTGTATTGGAATTGTTGCCATAAATATTGTGAGCGGTCGCGTAACTCACGCGAACACGACTCTTGATAATTAAAACTCGCCTACAAAATACGAATTCACATATTACAATTAAAATTTGGACCCGCGGTAAATATATTCATTGTAGTATGAAATATAAAATAATTTTTATTTATTCGACGACCGTGAGTTGATTGTTGTTTGTATTGTTTTTTGGTTAAGTTCAATTTTAACTGCTGGCTGTTAATTTTTAATTGACTATTTTAATTAAAATATCAATAGTTGAGAATATTTATAACACTTATTTCATATAGCTAATGTATAAGAATAAAGAAAGCGAGTTTACTTTTTAATTTCATCTATTTCACGGATAATATAATAGTATTAAAAAGTATTTAAAAATAGTTGTTTATACTGTTCTACCCTGACAGGAGCGCAATATATCTAGGCTATAGACTACAGACTATAGACTATATAAATTATAATTCGGTAAATAGCACTTGTAAAATACGTATTATATAAATGACATAAGGCATCACTATAATAAAAATACTTTTATTTCAATAAAACGGATTATAATCGTCAAATGCAGCGGAAACGCTTTCACAGAAATTCATCACAAAATGGCCGAACGTAATAAAACCACCTGCGCTTAGCAAAAGGAAAAACTGAAAAATGACCAGATGCTGCACACACCTTTTGTTTTTCCGCGTCATAGGGGCAGGGCAATTTAATCCATCACGATAGAAGCCCAGTCGATAAATATCTATGTGATTGTTACTGATTTTTTTTTCGAATTAGACGGGATACAGTGGCTGTATGAATTATTGGTGCAATCAAAATACAGCTAATATATATTTCAATGCCAAAACAAATTTAATTGTCGAGTTGAAATTATAATTGATTGAAGATTTAAAAATAATATTGAAAGAGTCAATTTGAAATAAAGCATCTATATATTTTTTAATGAAATAAATAATTCTGGTTCACGGACTGTACGTTTTGGGTTTCCTAAGTGATTAGGTACAACTTCTCCTGCCCGGTTTCTGAGGTAATCAAACAGTTGCGTAACCTGCTATTGACTGTCGCTTCAAACGCTATTGATACTAAATTTATCGAGCAGATAAACTAGGTTTGAATTTACCTTAGAAACCAGAATTTACTAAGACGCTCTTCTTTTGAAGAAGTGTTACTAGTATTTGTTCGGGAATACTTTGAAATGTACCGCATACCGCATAAAGATGCCGCAATGTGAAGATCAACCTTTCTTTTTTAAGAGCCTTAATGAGGTCCATAATAATCAGGTTATGTGTTCACCAGTTTTATTTTTTTCTACGTGAAACGCATTATTAGCCTTTTTGGAAAACATCGTGAATTTATATGCCTTTCTCAATAAATTACTGTCAACCACCAACCTCCTTGAATATGTTTGGTTTTAGAAACAAAATTAGATCTGGCTGTTAATAATACAAAAAAAGAAAATCAGTAGGTGTGGCGCTCGTTATAATATGTCATATAACAGATCAACACAGATACGGGCGCATAACGTCGTATCTCATATCATGTCTTCTTTCTCACTAAACATAATGCTTTTCTTTTTCTATGAAATCCCAAACTACCTTAGCCTATAGTATGTGCGCTGTAGCATGGTGCGGGTGACAGTTGCTTAATATTTCGTTTCACTCTTGAAAGCTGCCGCGATTTACAAGTTATTATGACTTAATATTTCAGCTGTACCACATTCGTAATATATTAAATCATTAATAACTGTATTAACTTAAATTTAACCCAGCCAGAATGTTCTAGTCTACAAATAAAATCAAATTGAAAGAAACCCAAGTCACCCGCACCATGCTACAGCGAACATAGTAAAATTATAAAAATATATATTAAAAATAATATGGTTACGATGAAAAACCGTTACTCTGTGGATATCGATTTGTAATACAGTATATGTTCCTTTTGCTCTACACATAGAGAACATAGATTATGTTAGAGCAATCGTATAAATGGCTAGAGATATTGTTATTGCAACGAATGCGGCGGTCACCTATGACACCTGACGGCCTCTGGGTCCGAGTGAAATAAGGATTGACAGCCACCGGCGGGAATGCAAAATGTCAATCCAGTTATGTCTTAGATTCGGAAGATCCGTTGGGATTTGTCTGCAATGCTTTTCTTGATACATTAGTTGGAACAATACGTGTTGTTACTAAGGTACATACGTATCTTGCGTATACGTATATATAATATAACGTACGTATCTTGCGTATACGATTTAAAATATAAGCGTATTTAGGTTCCATGATTAATCTTAGATTTTCGAAGTTATACTTCTTTCGGCGCGTTAGGGAAAAATGATGTGAGTAAATTTTTACGATGCGTGCGCACACCGTCACAAAAAACCGACACCCTGAAGTTAGCTATAGTCAACATTTTAGTTTTTTTGTGATAATTAAAAAAACTTTATTTAACAGGGTAATGCGTTATAATAAAACTTTCAATGTATTAAATACCTTTTTTCTATTGTTAGTGTCGTTTTTTCTACATAAGTAGAATAAATTTTTTTTTTTAATTTTTATCTTATTACGCCAAAGAAGTATCACTTCTAACACGTGTACATAAGTACGCACACGTTTTTTTATAAATCATTAATTATTCTCTTAGATTTTGTTACAATTTTAAACAATTGTTTTTACCTGTTCTAGTGTTTAGCACTTTAAATTCAGTGTTATTTACATTTCATTTATTTCGTTTTTTTTCATAGAACAGGTGGCATGGCCTGGAAGCTCACTGATTAGTGATACTGACGCCCATGGAGTGTCCATATCGGTATATGGACACTCCATTTTTCCATGGACTTTTGGTTTTTTTATATTGGTTCGGAAATACTTTGAAATGTACCGCATTATGATACTGCAAATTAGGGATTGCCAAAATGCCAGAAGGCTCGGAGTGCGTCGTCGGCCTCAGTTAGGTTCACACCTCACGCTCTTTGCTGGTGTGTCTAGTTTTCGTCTTGTGAGAGAATTTAATTATCCAATACAGACGTCGATAAAAGAAATAAGAATGATTATAGATCCCTAATGTAATGGTGAGAGATTTACAGATTAAGTTCAATAAGAAAAATACAATAAACAGATTATATTATCTGTGTTGGATGATCTACAGTCTATGACAGTTGATTTCTCTCCCTAGCGCAAGGTGCCTAGCACGAGTGCGATCGTGTGTCGGCCACGCGACGTGACGCGCGTTCGATTAGACGCACTTGCCACAAATTGTTTGTTATAACTTGCTTCAATGGGGTATGAAATTTGTTTGAAGTACCCTAAATTATTTTTGATTAACGATAATATATTGATAACGTGTTCTATTAAGCCAATGATTTTTATCTAATTAATACTTGAAAAACTATGCTCATCAACCCCCCCCCCCCCCCCCTCCTGCCCCTCTCCCATGTTAATACCATTTAATTATTTTGTTTAGATTATTTTTTTCTTCATTGTTATGTTTATTAAAGTATTCAAATTTATTAGTTCATCTACATTTAGGAAAAATTTTTTACGCGTTGCACAGGTTTTGACACGCAGCCCGGAATTACATTTTTTCCTTTATAACATTTAATTTTTGGTGGGGACGTTTATTTAAGATAATGTGGATATATAAAGTTATTACATGAATGTGTCCCTGTTATGTATTGGTATTAAGTATTTATTATACTGAATTATACAATGCTTATAGAACGAATCCTAGAGATTATTTATGAATTAACTAAAGTAAAAGATCACTCTAATTAAACAGCAACCCCACGTTAATCGCTGTGATTGTGGATCGCGATTTGGACCGTAATCACTTAGCGGTTGACATTTTCATCATACCATGTTACAAATGTGCACATCTATCTAATGAGAATAATAACATTTATAATATTCTTATTGTGCAACAATAGCTTAATCAAATACCGTAAACATGTCACGGGGAATCCTAGTGTGGTGGTGAGTGCACTTTCTTTATACCTAAATGTCCTTTTTATTGTGTATAACAAAGTTTTTTCTTTCTTTCTATCATGAAATATTTCATATCATACTGACGCACCAAAGTTGAAACGTCTAAGCAATGATTAATTAAGTTCACACTCACCCTCAGATTCTAAGGCTACATGTGTCACTACCGTATGTCAAAAACGTATTCAAAGTCAAAGTACAATGTACACTTATGAACGTCAAAAAAAGAAAAACATATTAAATGCTTCTAATTTTACATTTACTGCCAGTTCTCAAATCAAGGGCGTAGAACGGAACAGAAGAACTGGCAATAAACTCTCCGCCACTCTTTATAATCGCCAAGTTTTTTGTTTTACACAATGTTTGTAAGGAGCTGCAACCATTTCACCATTATCCACATGACTTCTTAAATAATTAATAGTTAATTAATAATAATAAA